TGATTATTTGACTATTTATTATGAAGTATTGAATCTTGATGTAGAAGATAATGTTAATATAAATGTAGTAGAAGATAATGTTAATATAAATGTAGTAATGCATGAAGTTAAACAAAATATTATGCAATTATATAATGAATTTGTTCAATTTCTAGTTCATCTACTTCTATTTCTACTTCTTCTCAATCTAATATTCCACAATTTTCAACATAAAGGGTAAGTGGTGTTGGTGTTGCTCAATAAGTTTCATTGCAAAGACAAAAAAGAACAAGGGAATCCAGTTCTATTTCTGAATTTGATAATTATCTAACAACTTCTTTTGAGTTTGGTGATGATTATGCTGATGCAGATTTTCCAATTTTAGATTGGTGGAGTCGTCACGCAAATACTTTTTCAATTCTTTCTTTACTTGCAAAACAAATTTTAGTAGCTCCGGTCTCCACTGTTGTGCGGTTGAACAAGCTTTTAGTCAAGGGAGGTAACATACTTGATGAAACACGATCTCGTATTGACACCCGATTCATTAGAAGCACAGCGTGCGGTAGGATGATTGGACCAAAGCCGAAACTAGAGCCCAAGAAATCCAAACGGAAAATGAAGATTATTTGATTTATACGATGGGTCCTCAACGGAACTAACCGGTGGTTGCAAATAGCGATTAAGTTAAAAGGGGGTGACATTGATATAAGGTAAGTAAGAACTTACGTGCGGCTTTTGATTCCTCTTAACCCCAAGAGGATACGTAGGCAACTTAATTTTTTTTTTTTAAAAAAAAAAATAAGTTCAAGCCCATTTTTTTTTTTTTTCAAATTATGTTCAAACTTAAAAAAAAAAAAATTCAGTTCAAATTTTTTTTAAAAAAATCATTATGTTCAAACTTAAAAAAAAAAAAATCAATTCAAATTTTTTTTTTTAAAAAAAATCATTTATGTTCAAACTTAAAAAAAAAAAAAATCAGTTTCAAATTTTTTTTAAAACCGGGTCTTTAAAAATTGAAATTTTTCAGGTGTATTAATTTTTATGTTTCAAATAATTTTTTTTTAGTTGGTCTTATATTTTAAAATTTCTTTAACAGTATTTAAATTTTATGTTTAATATAATTTTTTTTTTTAAAACCGGTTTATTAAAAATTTTAAAATTTCAATTATGCGATTTCGCCGGAAAAACCATCGGAAACGTCGGTTATGTAATCGGATCGGAACGGAAACCGGAACCGGAACCGGACGGTTTCCAAACCGAACCGGAACGGCCAATTTCGGTTTCGGTTTCCGGTTACCGGAACCGGCCAATTTCGGTTCGGTTCCGGTTCCAGCTTTTCTGGAACCGGAACCGCCGGTTCCGGAACCGTGGCCATGCCTACTCAAAGGAGATTTGGCTCGTAGTATCCAATTGTTATATTTTTAATCTCACCAAGTAAAATTCAGAAATTTAAATTAATTAATTGATACAACTCTCAACCTTTAGGCCTGGATTAATTAAATTGGAAACCCTATTTCAATCAAATCAATTAAAGAAAGTATTGCATTAAAGCCGGATTAATTACTCCCTGGTAATATGATTCAGATACTGGTGATTTACACAGAAACAAAATAATGTGATTTAAAGATAAATGTGGTATATTCTAAAAGATTAAAACATTATGTTCTTTGAATGGTGTATTACAATATTAATTTCAAGAATCTAAGTTTCAAATCTCATAGTTGCTCCATCTTGGTAATAAAAAGGTTAATTGCATTAGCATTTAATTATGTGTTTTTGATTAATATGATTTTGCAAATTTCTTTTATATAGAGTGGCATTATTATTAGAATAAAATTATCAAATGTCATAATTTGCCAGAAGGTTAAATGTATTAACTTTGGGAGCAAATTTATGTATTAGGTCAATTCAGAAGAGAATCTATTTTTAATATTGAAATTGATTAAAATAAAGGAGTAAGGACTAATCTACCCCTTGAACTTAAACACAACATAAAATTTGCTCAAAAATTAATTTTTTATATAATTGGTCCCTTGAACTTGCACCAAAAGGACAAAATGCCCAATTTTTTAAGAGAAACTTTTTTAATAGTTTTAACTAATAAAAAATTACTTTAAAATTTAAAATTAGAAAATAAAAGTTATTTAAAATATGATAATAATTATAAAAATTAATTTATAAAAATTATACAGTATTGTTAAAATAATATAATAAATATTTGATTTGACAAATTTAGAATTAGAAAAAGATTTGATTATATTGAAATTATTGGTTAGAAAAAATATTTATTATTTTTTTATTTGATTAGTTTGTTTAATTATATTTGGGTTAGAAAAATATTTATTATTTTTTTATTTGATTAGTTGTTTAATTATATTTGATTTAGATAAAATATTTAATTTATTTTTTAATCATATTTGATTTATTTAAATGAGAAGAAGAAAAATAAAGGATTTATGAGTCATTCCTTAAGAGTTGAGGTATGAGATTCTTTTATAATAAAGGCACATCCAAGAGATGGGCCAGCTGTGTTGTGGAGCTCACTTCTACGGTTCTACCAAATTGTCTAAACATACCTTTTCTTACTTTTTACAAAAACCTAATATTAATTTTGGATCTTATCAAATTATCAAAAAAAATTTAGAGTTTGCCAATCATGCACTGATCTGATTGGTCTTCTCACTTATGTGAGAAGTGAAAGGTCTCGAGTTTAACTACTATGCCTACGGTGTAGTCTGCAATATTATTTCTGTCCGTAAAGACCTTTATTGTATTAAAAAAAATTTTGGAGTTTTTTCTGAAAAAAAAAAAATTATCAAACACTACTTTCCCTTAGACGTCAAAATCATTCCTTGTAATTGGTGTTAACAGATCATATAGCGCAAATGGAATTCTCTAATCTCACTATTTCCACTCCATTTGTTATAGAAGAAATCATGTTTCTGCAATTTTCTAATATTTGAGATATGGTTGGAAAAATTCATAAAACGAAAAATATTTTTTTAATTAAAGAAAATTAACTCATTATCCTTCAAATATTGGATGAATTTCTTTTTTTTTTAGAAAAATCAAACTAGAATTTCATTAATTGAAAACTTTATACAGATATGTGATACAGATCAATACATTTCTATATTTTTGTATAGGAAGCCTAACAATAAACCACTTACATAAAAAAAAAAAAAAACACAATCTTAATTTGAAATATCTGATCTAGTTGACAGAATATAATATTTGTGTCGTAGGCGATCGCTTGCTCCACTTGGTGGCTATTCATGGCTACTATTTGACTCCATGATATTTTTACAAGTATGATATAATTACTTTTAAATTTCTTCATTTTGTTGGAGATGATATTTGCACTTCTTTCTATATAACTATCCAAATAATAAAAGACGCTAGACAAAAAATTACCATAATGGTGATAATAATAACTCAGAACTAGACTGATGATAAAATCGCAATATATGGACAATAATAAATCTCAATAAATGGATGATAACAACTCGTATCTGTAAATAACTTAATTCATAAAATAAATAGAGGAAAACTTATCTTGAAGGCTTTGAACTTTCTAAGTGAACTCTTAAATTATTATTTTTAATGATATTGATAATTGATTTATCTCTTTAAAAATGACCTAGTTTACTTTTAAATTTTCATATGTCAATGTTAACTCTTTAGAGATTCAAATTATAACTTTTAATGATATTGAAGACTAATTTGACACCCATCAGAAATACATTTACTATTAGATTTTTACCTTATAAAAATATTAATGTACTTGGATTTCCATCACAGAGTTCAGTATTTCAAAAATAAAAAAAAATAAAAAAAAAGAAAATCCCAACCACATTTTCTTTTTAAAATGGCTTATTTGCCATTAGATTTTTGCCATGTCAAATTAATAAACTGTCAATATCTATTTAATTTTCCACCATAAAATTTGTGTCTTTCTTCTAAAAACAACACATGAAAAAACATGTAAAGATCTATTATTTTTTTTTCGCTATATGATATAAACACCGTACACAATAACCACACAAACACATTAAAAAAAAGGACTCCATAAAAGTCCTACAAGCTTGTGTTGTCATATTTGGCATTGGAAATGAAGTTGACTACCTTTTCCATTTTGCAACTGTTACTGATTAGAGTAGGAACCCTCCAATTTGCAAATTATATACATCAAATAACACAATTCTAGTTTAATGTTTCTATTATTTGATGTGGTAAGAACTCAGAGACAAATTGAACAATTTCTGCTAATCAAGTGAATTAATTGATCTTTCTATTTTCCGTAAAAGATATAGGAAGTAAGTGGTCTCATGTTTGAGTTCTCTCCACCGGAAATATTATCAATAATTTAGTGAATGTTATTCTAAGGGAAGGGCTACCTTAACTGTGTAACCCATAACATTATTCTGGTCCGTTAAACCTCCCATGTATCAAAAAAAAAAAAAAAAAAATAAAAAAAAGAAATCTAAAATATGTTAAATTAGTTCTCAAAGGTCAGTGAAAAAAAAAAAAAAAAAAATCTAAAATATGTTAAATTAGTTCTCAAAGGTCAGTGAAAATATAATTCAAGCATAAATATAATTAAAAAAACTTAACAAAACTAAAGGGCGTTCCATTCATTCTCAATATTATTGAAAATAACAATTTAAAGAATAGATAAATATATTTTTCAAAACTCAAGATAATATTCTTCCATATTTCTCAACTTATTACCAGAGACGTCTAATTCGGTTCAGGACTTAGTTACAGTTAACGCTCTTTACCCTTCCTTGTAAGTGCATTCAGTGAAGATCGAACCCGAGAGTTCTTCCTACATGTCTAACCTCCGCTGAACCAACTGAACCACAACCTATAAGTAATTTTGTTTTAAATCTTAAACATGAATAAAATCAAATTTTAAAAATGCAAGTTAATTATCTATATGAATGATTGCCTATAAAAAAATTCTGTTACCTTTGCGGTTGCTTAGAAAACAATGATTACTTTACTTCTTCCAAATTAAATTAGAACCTGAATGATGCTGGGTTCCAGGTTAAGGGGACAAAAACATAAAATATGGTCGTTTACAATGAACAGAGATGGTTCCTTCACTCTTTTGGTACCGAGTTAACTAAGTCTACAATCCCGGATAAAGTAAAACCGATAAAGTAAATTCAAGGATGACTGGTGAAAATAAGCTCCCTTTGCTCTAAGACCCAAAAATGGCTATCACTGCCCTAATTAGATTTATAGCTACCTATTACAAGAAGGCTGGACCACAATTTTTAGCCTTAAAAACTTCAACAGATGACATAGTGCTATCTATATCCACAAAATTCACGACTACATGTTAAGAGTTAATCTTTTTCCATCAGAAAACAAATGCAAAACCTTCTTTTCCCCGGACTCCCGTTTGGAAGTAACTCTGACTCATGACCAATGCACATAGAATAGTCCCTCCTGTGATCCACACCATGCCCCCCAACTATTGTGCTGACCAGATTGGAACTCTTCGTATCTTTCATCTTGTAATCTCACATATCCTGCAGATGAGTCGAATATTCAAATTAACAATCGCAATATATACTCACATATCCTGCATAGAAAAGGAAAATTATAATGAATAGGATGCAGAATGGATGTACTCTCGGATCTCTGCCAGCACCCAGTTGAGAGGACTGAATCGGAAACTTTTTCCTCATAGAGTAGCTCACCGGACTTAATACTCCAAAGCCGTAAATTGCAATCCTCACCGCCTGTGAAAAATGCCAAACAAGGTCAGACTTGAGAAATTTTAAGAACATATGAGATAAATTGGAGTGATATAAACCTGCCATAAGAAACCTCTCTGACTGGTCAACGGCAAGCTGTAAACGAGAATGAGAGTTCACATTTCCTTCGTAAGATTGAAGTTCCCCTTTAGTCATTCGATGATCATAAAGCTTAATCTGCAAGGGGAGAGAAACAAAAGTCCATGAATGAAGTTGCTTCACAAAATTTAGAGAGCGGAAAATGATAATAAAATAGAACTACAGACCACGATAAGCGAGCAAATGACCTATATAGAACTTGGAGATAATCCAGCAAGAGAACTGCTCAAGTTATTACATACATTCTCTGAGTAAAGGAAGGGGGATTTTTACAGCTCAGATGGCCTAGATCTCTTTCTCTGAGTATTGGGAGGGGGTTTTTACAGAGAGGGCCTCCAGATCACTACTGGATAGCTTTATACCTTTACCATTAAGCCAAGGCATTTCAGTTTCTTTTTTCTTTTACTATCTCATTGTTGCTATGATTTTTGCGTTTCACAGAAAAAACAAGCATGAGAAAGATAACAACCTGCCTTGCTCAAAATAGTGAAAATCATAGAAAAATTTGATGCGTTTTTAGCTCAAACTTCACGGGAAAAACGTGGACTTTTACATAAGTTGAACAAATTTCCACCAAATCTAGCAAAAAGTAATCCAAAACCTCGGCACTTCTTCACAGTGGAAAAAGTAAAGTTACTTGTTCATTTGCCTCCAAATAATTTAAGTGGCAGCCATTGAAGATAGTTCAGCAATGAAATTCTTTCAGCTAAAAACTCCAGAATAAAAAAATTGAGCATTTCCAAGTCAAGAGTGAAGAAAATGAGATATAGACCCAAGATCACTCATGGATAAGTAGTAAAGAAGAATTTAGTGGGCATTAGAGGCTTAATATATTATTTCACCACTAACGTTTCAATCAGTTGAGCCCAATTTGACTTTCATACCATCGATAACCCAATTTGGTGTTTAGCAGTAATTGCACCCGAAAAGCTAGTTAGGATTACGTTTAACAATAAAATATGGTAAACATGGGACCATAAGCATAGCTCGAGCACAGGTTCACTTAACAATTTATACAACTTTCTAACCAACCTCAGCTCCCTTCTAACCAAAAATCACCGTTTCCCTTTTTTTTACACTCCAACTACCACTGCTAAAATCTCAACGCCAACACTGTTCTCACCAAAAATGAAACTATAATAAAAACATAAAATACAAAAGCAAAATCTTCAATTTAGATAAATACACCACCATCACCTGGCTACTTAACTACCATTTCCTTCATCGACACTCATTTTTATGGCCAAGTTGACTCAGTCCCAGGTGGTTTACTTTCCTCAATCTCTTCAGCTATGGAGGACACTTGAGAACTGGCTCACTGTCTTCTCCCATATTTTTCTCCAGATCTTTAGAGCTTCAGGTCACTTTTTTCTCAATTATGGTTTAGGTCAACTTAAAGCTTTGGCGAACTTTATTACGGCTTTAATTTTCACTTCCATCATTTCAGTGGCTTCAATTTCAAAGCTGTTCCTTCTCAACCTGTAGATAGTCCATCGACAATTTGTGGGCATGATGAGAGAGAAAAGATAAGATGGTAAGAAGTAGAGGGATGGATGTGGGCATCTGTCAGTTTGAGTTTTATTGTAGTACTGGTGGCATGGAACTAGAAGATTTAAGATTTGAATATCAATTCAATTCAATGCTTACATACCATTGCCTCTGCTCATCTTCTCTATCTTCTGCTTTCTTTGGCTGTTAATGGGTAGTTGTTTCAGGTTTAAGAGATACTATAGTTGTCATTTTCCTAGTACAACATTCTTTCATTGATTTGTGGTGGTTTTGATGGCTCTTGTTGATAGTATTCCTAGAGTGGATTCAATTTCACATGGTGAAAGAGATGAGGATGAGGAAAATTGATTTCAGTTGTGGTTTCATAGACTTTGATGGATCGCAAATGAAGGATAATAAATGGGTTCAATATTCTGTTTGGTTGCCTAGAAAGGAGAATGAAGAAAGGAATATGAATTTTGAATCCATATTTTTTTTTTTCCTGTCGATTTTGATCTAGAGTATTTGGACTTACTGGAGAGAGTGAAATGGGGGTATTGATACAAATAGACTTGAGTTGACCCAAGCTCCAGCTGTCATGTTTTATATTTTAGTAGCTTTTGGGGTGCAATTACTGCTAAACATCATAATTAGGGTACCACTAACACGAAGTTCAAATCAAAGTGATATTGCAACTGCTCAAAAAGTTCATGGCGAAATAGTATATTAAGACAGACATTAGACCTTCTCATAGATGCATACAAAGTGAATGGTTACTCTTTTAGCATGTCTACAAAGGTTTGATCCAAAATAACAAATCCTCCCAAATATACAGATTAAATCTGTCCATACATGCCTTCCAGTCTTAACAAATTTGAGGTCCAAATATCAAGATCCAAACTGTATGTTATGCATTATAGTTGTAACTATCTAAAAGAAAACCACCATCCCCAAGGTTATTGGGAAAAAAGAAATTTGGAACTGTTCCTTAGCTGTTCTGTAATTTTTATTAAAATAAAATAAAAAAAGCTACAACTTTGAGATACAGCCATGAAAAGATTCCAACTATATAGTTGGCCTTGCAGTTGAGACAGATTTTTCAAAATAGATCATCCTTGATGTTAAAAAGACGATTTGGTACCATTTTTAGCTTTTTCAAAGTTTTTATGGACAAGACATATCAAATATACCTTAAAAACAAATTCTTACGCTTTCAACCAACATACTATAGATAGTGTTCCCCGAAGCTATAGTAACAATGTCAAACAGACCTTATTTATATTCCAAATTCCTGGAATCAGACACTACTAGCTAAATCAACAAGTTCAATGGAGAAAAGCCTTTAATCAATAAGATTGATGCATTAACATTGTAAAATTAAAACCAAAACTAATTATTGTAAACTGTAGCAGAACAAATTTGCAAAAAGCACACTCAAGAGTTTAAATGAAAAATGAAGACTAACCGATCCATCCATGGAACTGGCCAAGAAGTACTGGTCATAAGATCGAAGTGATACCAAACTGGAAGTTCAAAACAAGGACAAAACATGTAAATTAAAAAGCACAAGACAAAAAGTAGAAACAAATAAATGTTTTAAGGCCTACTAACCTGCATATTGACGAAGGCATATAAAAGGTACAAGAAGGATATACGTTTCCTCTGACCTGGAATAGATCAGATTAAGGTCAAGCACCATAATTATATGTATATATATATATAATTCCAACCATGATCAAGCTGTATTCATCATGCAAGGTTTAATACATTGCATGTAAAAACCACCATAATAAAGAAAAGAAAGAAATGTCAATCTGAGAAGATCTAGGTAAATTACTAGAGAATATAACTCCACAGATTAGCCTCTTAATTAATAAATATGAAAAGCACCAACTGTAACACAAAATAAAATTTAGCCCTCAAAAAAAGATCATAGGATACGCGTACCATTTTTTACAATGCAAATCTGTTTACCAAGATGGATTTTCCTCAGGCTTTATTTGACACTGTAGAAATTGAATAATTGCCCTGTAATATTGGTAGTTTGGGACAAAACCCAAAAATTACACTTTCTTCACCCAAATATTTCCCACTAAAATTCCAAAGTTTTCCTCTTTTCCCATTCTCTTAAGAAAAAAGAAAAGAGATAAATCAATTATGAGGTATTTATTATTCTAAAATCCAGCTTCCTGATTCTTTTTCCACGATTAAATTTAATAGTTAATCATACATCTAAAATCGCAAAACTCATAATTCAGCAATGACAATATGCTAAAGAACCACTGCATCATCCACTGGATGTTGTTAAAACTGAACCACATACATAGCAATTAATTAAATGTCAAATTCAAAAGGCCATAAAACATTTTTTGCAGATATCTACTAAAGAAGAAAAATACTCAGATTACCATGTAAAAAATCTTATAACAATTTTTCCCCCATTCTTAATTTAAAAGGTATCTATTTGTTTTCAACGCAAAGATAACTGACACCCGACCAACTATACTGCCACTAAAGCCCATCCAATTTTGGTTCTATTACTTCCTTCAGGTGTCCTGACAGATTCAAAAGCCAATTTATGTAAGCAGATACAAGCTGAAGATTTTCAATAATTTTGTGTGTCCTGGCTTCACCTTAAACTTCACATTGGGAATAAAAATGACCAGCTTTACGTTTTAGTACTTCTAAAAGAAATGCAATACCTCAAACCACTGTTTACTAGAATTTTGATGAAATTTGCCCAAAGTTGAATGAGGTATTCTATGTCTAATGAGTCTAGCAGAAAACCCTTCTCGGTTTTCACGAACATCAACAGTCAAAATTGCTCCATTTCTTAATCCACACAAAACAACATTTCCCTGTCACAAAAGAAAATAAGAAAAGCTCAGCAAATTTTCCACATTTCAAAGGAATGAACATGTTATTAATTATAGCAATCAATTCAGTTCTCAAAAAATGCACCCTGCATTACATGAAAGCTGGACAAGATCATATCGTATCTGAGAGACATTCAAAGGTATAATTTATGCATAGTCACACACCGGCTATGGATGTGCGTTAGTGCACCTAATCCTTGGGGGAGAAAGAGAGACGAACAGGAGAAACTAATAATATTTTCAAATACATTTTAATTTTGGACTCCGAAAGATTCCAGTGGCAATCAAGCAGCTATAATTTCTAGGCATATTTACAGGCAAGATCAGTTTCAATATTTTACAGATGTAACTAACACATGCTTCCTATGTATTTTCCTACTCTTCCTGTTTTCCCCCAGTTTCCATCTTTCCTTCATTTTCTTTATCTGCTTTTCTTCTCTTAGCGTTTTTTTTTTTTTTTTTTTTTTTTTTTTTTTTTTTTTTTTTTTTTTTTCACATGCTTCCTAAATGTATTTTTCCTACTCTCCTGTTTTCCCCCGTTTCAATCTTTCCTTCATTTTCATTTATCTGCTTTTCTTCTCTTAGCGTTTTTTTTTTTTTTTTTTTTTTTTTTTTTTTTTTTTTTTTTTTTTTTTTTTTTTTTTTTTTTTTTTTTTTTTTTTTTTTTTTTTTTTTTTTTTTTCTGGTTCCCAAAGGAGAGTGGCACAATGACAAGTTGAAACTATGACTTCCTACATAACCCAGCTGTTGAGCAGCCACTGAATCATACCCCTAAGAACCTTCCTGATTATGAAATCTTAGTAATAATAAGAAGAAAAGATGAAGAATCATATGAAAAGTTGGAGCTGAGACGGTATTCTGACATTATCTTCAACACTTTCATATCAGCCATTCTATTAGATGATGACTCAAAACATGCTAAAACCTAGGAGATTAATTAAACAAAATAATTCCCCTATGCACGAGATGACAGCCATAAAATTCGCATAATACTATTTTAGGTTCTTGTTCTCAGATGCATGTGAAAGTAAATTAGAACAGAAAACGATATTTCAATGATTATTTCTCTTCATCATAATTTTCAGATGACCAAAAACAATCTTCCTTGTTTGGAAGAAAAGTTTGTGTTGGGGCAAAGTTTCCAAAAAATCATCCAAGATGGCGAGCTGAACTGGTTTAGCATCCAAAGAACGAATATTTCATATTGTCCTTTCTTATTCCATTTATCATTTTGGAACAAAACATTAAGAGCACCTTAAGCTAGAATAGTAACTGGCTATTGCAACTTTGGAGGTGTGATCTTGCTCACATTCAGCCTTTCAAGTGGCTAAATTGAATAAAACCCACGTCAAAATCCTCTAGCTTCTCCACAATTCAAACTAGTTTAGAAGGATTTTTCTCCCAAACTAGTTTAAACTAGTGATCCACAAATAATAGAGGTTGATGGTCTCAGCTGTTCCATTACTTGATGTAATTAGGTTTTAAGACACTGCAGATAGATGATGAGGCAAATTGAACATATTCTTTTATTTATCAGCCACTTGAACTTTGTATATCGTCAGTACAAAGGAGATATAAGTTCAACCATAAAGTTCACACACAAGATTATCAGGCAACTTAATGAGTCTAGCAACACTAAATAATATGAATATTACCGACTGATCAAGCTGTTGAGCTAAAACATCACTTTTACTTCTACACATCCATGTTCTTGTTCCTGTTTCCAAATTTATCAAAGCAGCTCCAAGGTTGGTTCCTAACAACCAGAAACAATGAACAAATTAATATATAAAAATATCAGATACTCCCTAAATCCAAAACCTGGACAGGTTACTATCCTTGTTTGCCAATAGAACTCTCATGTTCATTAACTTAACATCATCTCCAGTGACAAGGTGTTTGCCCAATGAAGGAACCACTCACTTCAAATTTCTACTATGTATAGTGAAAATATAGATGAATTAACAAGTAGTAGTAAAAATGAAATCTTGTTTTTGCCTGTTGGTCTATAGTTCAAAGCGGTCAAAGATATGTTGGGCCTAGTTACTTCTTGGTTTAAGTAGCACCAAAAAGGGAAACAAGCCAAATTTAATATGTAGGAATTTAAATGCAGAAATAGCCTTATTGATTGACGTCGAACTGAAGTGGTAATCCAGAACAGTCTATTGCAACACAAAAATAGAGCACGATTAAAGAAATAAAATAAAGATAAAGTACTCACCAATCACCACTTGATTTGAATTTTGGTTGAAATCTGCAGTCCAGATGGTGCAATTGAAAGATGTAATCTCGCGCATTGATTGCCTTAAAGGAGTCCTCGAATAAAGATCTAAAGGCTCAATAAGGTTAAGGATACAAACAGATCCACCAGATGTCTCGGATCCAAGAGTCGTTATTCTGTTATCTTAAATTAAGGGAACGCAGCTTCAAAAATTACTTTCATAACACAATTAATGAAATTGTATTAATATGTTACAATAATTATGTTTGTGAGTATGTGTGTGTGTGTGTGTGTGTGTGTGTGTGTGTGCCAACAGCAAAAAGTACATATGCAAATTAAACAGATAGAAGCCATGAATCAAGTAGATACAGAAAAGAAGAAGCTTATGTAAGGAATAGGAAGAAATCTTATCGTCCAAAGACCAAACTAAACCAGGTACACAACATAAGTGAGTGCCAACTAATCCTAGGGAAACCTATATACTTCATCACTTGTAGACTTCCATGGATGTAGAATGTAAACCTCTGAAAGCAGCAACCAGCAACCAACAACCAAGCCCCACAGGTCCCAAACAAGAACTAAGGCACTAAGCAAGCTTAATAGCAAGAAAATTTAGCAATGTATTAATAAACAAACTAGTTACACTTGCACATCAGAAGAGCATGGTGTAGGAAAAGGATACAAGGCATGCTGGATCGTAAAAGAGTTATCAGCATAAGGAGATTGCTTTACAAATGGTTTTATAGAAGATATACTTGATGGCATTTGTAGTGAAGCTCCTGAAGGACGCCAAATATCAAGAGGAGGTTTCCTACACTCTGCTTTGATTTCTCCAACTACAGGTCTCACACGATCTGGAATGCATTTTACCCCATTATCAAAATGTTGTCCAACTTTTCCAACTTCAAAAAGACTGCGAGAGCACCAGACTTCAATAGAAAGAGCTGGTAATCGATAATTAAAAGAAATCGTCTATGATGATTTTGAAACATCACAGCAATTACAGATGCAACAGGAATCATAAGAGGGAGGGAAGTTAAACCATACGGCAATATAAGTACAAAATAATAGTGAGCTAATAAGACATAGCAAGAAATGGTATCACTCAGTTCTTAAAACTAATGGAAGTGAACAAATAGAAATCATCTCCAAAATGACGACAAAGTAAAAGACATGCAACAGAAGTTATGAAGTAACACAGCCATTAGGTTTTAAAAGGCCAGTAAAACTTGTTTCGATATCCTCCAAAGTTGGCACAAGACTATAGACCATTGAGCCATATTTTGACAATGTACTGTACTGGAAAAAGGCGATGTAAAGAACATACAAAATAGAAGTTTCTGATCTAATTCCACAAAATATGTTATGGTTCAATTGAACTCTAGGCAAAATGCATATTTTGCAAAATATTACCTCCAATATACAAAGTCAACTTCTATTCAGGATTATATATCATTGTTAACGCTCTGGGGTTCACACATATATTGGACAAAGGTAATGTTAAACATCATAAATAACCAAATGTCATGATCAATTGATTCTTGAAGAAAACCCAAAAGATGCTTTTGTGGGAATAAGTATTTGATGATTAATATAACATTATAAATAATGACTCCATATAAGTTTCAGATTTTATTACCCAAACTATTTCATGCTTCAATTGAACTCTAGACAAAATACATATTTTGCTCAGCATTACTTCCAAAACACAAAGTCAACTTCTATTCAGCATTATATATCACTGTTTGCATTAACACTTTGAGAATCACACATTGTATTGCTCCATAACCTCAATCACATATATATTCAGCAAAGGCAATGCCAAGCACAAAAATAACCAAACATCATGATAAAAAATAGATTCTTCAAGAAAACCCCAAAAGATGTTTTCATGAGAATAATAATCAATAATAATATCAAATTATAAATAATGACTCCATATAAGTTTCTGATTTAATTTCCCAAACTATTTTATGGTTCAATTGAACTTTAGGCAAAACGCATATTTTGCCAAATATCACCTCCATAATTCAAAGTCAATTTCTAGTCAGGACTATGTACCATGATTTGTATCAACACATATGGAATCACAATATTGCCTCATAACCTCAATCTTCACATTTGTTTTCTTAAAGTATCACATGGCAAAAGTAAGTCAGATTACAAATTTATTACCTCAAGGAACCACTTCTACTGCCTGTTATTAAAACATCGACCTGAGTTTGACCCTCTGGTGTGAGTATATTTATACGCATCTGGTCTAAAGCACCATCACCTTGTTTTTGAGTCCCTTGATACTTCCAAACCTTCAATGCAGAAGATGATAGTAGTAGTATTAATAAAATATACATATCATACATGTAATATAAAAAAATATTATTCAAAAAATTTAAAAAATTTATTAATAGTAGTAATAATAAAAAAATATACATTCACCTTCAAAAATAAAATAATATACATATGATCATGATAGTATAAAAAAAATGATTATTTTACATTTTAAAAGCATTATTAAAATTTTACCAAAGAACCAACTTTCATCAGCTAACAGCTATTAACAACAGCTACTACCAGCTACTAGTAATAGCTGAACAGAATAGGCCCTAAGAACAAAGGTAAAGAGAGGTTATTTCTAAATATTAATGTCAAGACTGACAAAATTTGCCAATGACTTCAACAATAGTCATCCAATTGGAAGTAAAATAGGACTGCATGTTGTATTCTAAGGCAATTTTTCACAATACGTTGTACAACAGAAATACCTACAAGCCAATTTCAGGAACTCCCTAGTTTTTTAATGTTTAAGCTTGGGATGCAATTTCAAAATGATAGTAACCACTAATCTAAGGGAAACATTCTAAGAAGATACCATCTGGTATGCATGTGCATATTAAAGATGGATACGGGATGATATCCTAGTTATGCACAGTTGCACACATTTCTACAAGTTCTAAACACACTATTATATAGGAAATCCTAGTTAGTTCCTTTCACTCCTTTCAAAACCTCAATCGAATCCTAAATCAAGCATTTTAACCAATTTTACCAGAACAATAGTTGAATTATCAAATATATTACTCATGTTTGAATTTATCCATGACTCAAATTCACTAACAAAATATAAACCAATAAAAGAAATTACACAGAAAATTATAAGCCCATATGCTATCAACTTACCATTGGTTGGGATGCTTGTGCTTTTAATAGTTCCTCTACAAAGCTATGCTTCCCTTTATTGAAATTGATTATGTCCCCATTCAACTCCCTACCTTGAAGGAGCTTAGAAATTCTTACTCTCGTTCTCCTACAGGAATTGCTTGCCTGAAAAGAAATGAATTCAAATAAGAGCAAGAATTATTGCAATATGTTAGTAAATAACCGCAAGAAAGGCAGAAAACAACCATAATATAAAAGAGAGAGCAATAATCATAGCTATTGAATTAAGAAATTTGATACTAGGCAGAAAAAAAAAAAAAAAAAGGCTCCTAATTCAAATAAGCAAGCATTATTGCAATCATGTTAGTAATAACCGCAAGAAAGGCAGAAAAACAACCATAATATAAAAGAGAGAGCAACTAATATAGGCTATTGAATTAAAGAAATTTGATACTAGGCAGAAAAAAAAAAAAAAAGGGCTCCTTATTATATATGGACCTGGACAGGCTTGTGAAGATGTTTGCAGTGTTGTTGGTAGAAAGAAGATGGGGGACGCGAAGAACCTGGAAAAAAAAAAAAAAAAAAAAGGCTCCTTATATATAATACTGACCTGGACAGGCTGTGAAGATGTTTTTGCAGTGTTGTTGGTAGAAGAAGATGGACGCGAAGAACCTGGAATTGGGCCTTTGAGAGGGAAGTATCTGTTCTTCTCCGCATCATAATAAAAACCAGGAAGTTCTGCAACAGATAAAATATTAATCAAAGAAAATTTTTAAGTAATGAAAAAGAAAAAATCGAATCAAGAGCAAGAGAGAAAAACCTTTTGGCATTATACTTCTAAACAATAGCGAGAAACTGTTTGTCCGGTGATCTTTGCCTTCCTTTTAGGAATAGAAAGCGTATATGTGTGTGTTACCGAGTGTGTTTCTGAGCATAGAAGCATTGGCAGTGAAAGCAGAAGGTTCGGTGCAAGTCAGTCAGCGATCGTTTCTGAGTCCCGCGGCTTTATATTACCAAACCTCGTGGCTCGGATCATACCTGGATTAAAGTTCAAATTAGCCCCTAAATTTTTAGATTGTAGTCAATGAGGTCCAATTTTAAGTTTAGGGGTCGTGACTTGTGACTTGTGACTTGTGACTTGTGAGGCACTTGCAAAATCATAGGGGATAAATTATCTTTATTTAATATTATTTCGGTTACATTATTTAGTCTCCCATCCGATTTTTATCAAAAAAAATATTTATTAATGGCCAAAATCAAGGGTTAAAGGATAGACAAAAAATTTTAATTCTAAAATACTTCAATATTGACATATACTTAATTTAACTGTATCTTTTTCTTGTTTTCTCCTTCTTTTCTTTTAAAAAAAAAAATAATTATTTAGTCCTTGAAGTTTGACGAAATTAATCACTTCATTTTTTAGTTTAATAAAATTATTATGACGTCTCTGAATTTTACTTCCACCTTACTATATACACCTTACTATATAGTCCTTCTGTCTAAAAAAAATTAATTTGTTTGTTAAAGGGTAAATTACCTATATTTTGGACCCACACCCATCTTTAACCTTTAATATTGCATTTTATATTATATTTTAGAATTCAAAATTATACCAATTATACATCACTCTTTCCCTCTCCAGCTCTCTCTACTCCTCCTCCATTCTCGGCGTTACCACTCTTTCGGTAACATCTCTTGGAACATTAATATAGCATTAGGTGAGCCAATCTCTTTAACCATGGCAACATACTTAGAATTAGAATTATTGCTGCTCCGCCACATAGCCCATTTGTATCGACAAAATAGAACACGTATGTCCATCGTTTTCTGTTGGGTTACTGTGAGTGTGGGTCCAAAAATGAAATAAAAAGAAAAAAATAATTTGCTTTCTGAAATTTAGGATTAATGTTAGTGGAAGGGCTCAACTATATAGATACGCACGTGAGAGAGTATCAACCTCAATTTGTAATTTAAAAATATCTAAAAAGGCCAAAAGAATTTAACATTGTTATTTAAAACAATAAAATTACACCAATAAAATTAAAATAATTAAAAAAAAATTAACACTGTTAATTTGAACAAAAATAAAAATTATATTTGATAAATAACTTTTTCTTAACTAAAAAATATTAAGAAGTTTATAATTTAATATTCTTTAAACAAAGCTCCACAATACAAATACCTCCATTATCACTCTAATGAGATCCTAATTTAGCTTAATTCAAATAATTTCCATTATCAATTGATTTCCGCTAATAAATCATCAAATATCACAGACAAAGAGAACAAATATAAAACAACAACATAATGTCATATCAATATTTGCAAATGTCAAGAAACTTTAATTTAACTAAATACAAGAACTCCATTAAAAAAAGAAAAGTTAGAAGAATTGATGCAAAGAATTGATGAACTAAAAGTGTTCCCATGTTCTGTATGGTTTTAATAAGTAATTCTTTTTACTAAATCTTATAATTTTTAACTATAATGTTATTAGTGATTTCTTGTTGTTGTAATATGTTGTATAATTTTATTTGATTTATTACTCTATTATTTTTTCTCTCCTTAAAATATATTTAAAATAAATATTTGATGCATTTTTAGTATAAAACTTCAATTGTCATAAGCTTCTTCAAATAATATTTGTTTCAACGCTATATTTAAAATATTTCATGCATTATTCAAATCACAATTGAGCTCAACTAATCAAAGGTGTATCACATATGTTTCAATTATATTCAAAATTATATTTAAAAATATATTTTAAGTTCTACTATATTTGAAGCTGTTTAGCGAATTGTGATTTAAAAATTATCAAACATAAAAGCAAAATAAAACTCTTATTGTGAAAAGCATCTTCTAGCTATATTTTTTTGAAAGTTATATTTAACATGTTTTCATATATTATAAATTATATAATTGCTTATCATATTACAAAGAGTTTTGTCGTGCAAAATATTCATTAAAATTAATTTCAAATTGCTTGAATTGAAATGAAAATAGTTATTTATTAATGTTTATTATTAATGATTTCAAATGATAAATATATAATAAATAATCATTTATTATATATTGATTGTGGTAATTATTTATATAAATTAATGATGCCATGTAATTTTGTGTAATAAATTCGTACCTTCTCTTTTGGACAACCTTATTATTTTTCAATTTACATTCTTTGTGCATCTAAATAACCTTTTACCAAAAAAGGAAAATGTGATCAGCACAACAAAGGCTAAATCATTAAAAGTTTGGAGTATTTTTAATAATTTAGCCCACAACAAACAGTTCTTTAATATGGTTTATTTTAAGTACTTCCATCGTTAAAGCAAGAACCTTTGAATTGCAAGTTCAAACATTCAGAATTCCTTTGAGATCAAAAACCACATTTTCAAAGAAGAGACCATTATAAGAAATAATTTTGAAGCTTTTTATTATGATTAAAATATATAAGATTCAACTTATAATCTTAAACCAGTATTTCAACATGATAATGTTCTTACTAGTAACCCAAAGGAAGAATGTTTGAAATGCCCCTAAACTTAGATCCAAAATGCAGAATAAATGTACAAGAAGCCTCGTTCTTGCCAAGGTCAGTGCGCGTCTAATGCAAACAAGAACAAAAGCAAGTGAATTTAAAAATAGAGTATTTTTTGAATATAATTTGAAAATAGAGTATTCAAACCCATTTACTTGCTTTTATTATTTGTAGATTGAGAATACTAATTGAGTTGATCCTCTAACCCTTGTTATTAAGAACCTTTACATTTTTTCCCTTGTTATTAAGAACCTTTACATTTTTTTTTCTTTCTTGGTTTACCTTTAATATTTTACCATTTGTTCATTTCCAATTTGTTGCTAATTCTATTGTATTCTTCATCAATTCGTCATTTTCTAGTGTGAAAATAGCTTGTTTTAATCATATTCTCCGTGGGTTGCGCAAGACAAAGACAAACACATTTAAATGATTGCAGAGCTGGTTCAAGATCTATGGTAAGTCAAGCAAGCTCTAACTTGCACTTTTTACAACTGATTTCTTCTTCTCGCTTTAACGAAAAACCTAAGAGACATGATTCAATATAGAAATTCAATTTTTCTGGGTTTTAATTTTAGGGATAAGTTTCTGTAGGATTCAGTTTTGCTTGTTTTAGATTTCCATGTTCCTTTTTGCAATGGCCAATTCACAAACCCATACTTCAGTAGCCAATCTCAATCTGCGATATAATAGTAGTAATGCTTTCTTTGCTTTTCATAATTCATAACACTATAATACTCTCCTATCTGTTATTTTCTCTGGGTTCTCAACTTCTATTCAGGATAAATAAAAACAAGAATGAATCAACTTAGTGTGTTATCGTAGGAGTCAGTGGAGAGAAAGGAAAGGGATAACAATTCTTGGATTGTTGAGACAGTCAATGGACAATGTAGATGAGAGGAGAAGAACAACGAGGATGGGTCTAAAGGAACCATTAGCGTCAGTGACGATGACGAGCAATCACCGGATGGCTCCATTGCACTCTGTTTTATCCTCTTCAACGAGATAGAGAATAATTAATTTAAATATTATAATCTAATTTTTTTTATTAGTTTTCATTGATGGCGTGTGCACACGGAGTGAAAAAAAGATAGGAATTAGGCTTTTTGTACATTTTTAACCAAGATCATGACTATTCTAAAAACAAAAGATGAAATAAGGGCATTTTGTGTTTAGGATTCAAGTTTAAGGGGTATTTTGAGCATTCTTCCTAACCTAAATAACAATGCAAATAGATTGATAATAATAATTATCATTAACTACTTTCCAAGTTTCATAAATATCAAATGGTTGTGCTTAAAATGTTGTTAATTTTAAATTTGGATAATTTTATTATTTATTGTGGATTTTAAATTCAGATTGTAACAATGTTGATTTTAAATTTTGATTATTGCTTATCAGGTTTTTGATTGGAAGAAAAATGAATAAAAAAAAAAAACAAAAAAAGCACAATTTATTTTTAAAAAATGGACAAGTTTGGGCCCGCTCGTGGCTTGCTACGGGCCATGCTGAGCTTGAACATTGAAAGCCTATTTTTTAACGAGCTTTTTTGGCTCTGTTCCAAAACAGAGAAAACTTTATATTCTGAAATAGTAGGGGCAAAGTCACATATTTTGATAATATATGAGGATAAAATAATAATATTTTTAAAATTTAATGATTTGATATTAAAAAAAAATTCTATTTCTTAAATTAAATTATTTTTATTATTATGTAATCAATTAATACAGTTTTTGTTTTGTATTTTCTCTTATTACATATATAAAATTAGTGGAACCACCTTGATGGATGATTTAAGAATAATGGAAGTTCAATTTATTAAGGGTGAAGAAGAAGTAATGATTGGAGTAATGAAATTAGCAATTTGTATTATTTTTCGAGTGTGAATCAATAAATCATATATATATATATAAAGCAAACAAGTTTTCTAAAGTGGTGACAAGAGCTTAAAAGCTAGCTTAATTTAAATATTAAGTCCAAAATTAATTAAAGCATTCATTTAAATATTAGCAAAATTTTAATTTAAGTGATTAGTACATAGATGGTATTAGCCCAAAGAAGGAAATGATAAACATAAAAAGTTTAAATTTCCTATTTAATCGAACTCCTAATTTTCTTCTTTTAGGTTTACCAATTAGTATTTCTCTATACGTTTCCTATTTAGTATTCTCTTACATCTCCTATTTAGTTTAACTATTGTAACTTATAAAAGACAACCATTCAACGTTTCTACTCCTCTTGTTTTCAATTTACATAGCAAAATTGAATTTCTTTGAAAATTTGTGGAGCTTAACTCAAGACTTAATAAATAGGAAAACTAGTTTAACTCTCATTCAATAGGTATGAATCTTCACTCTAATTTCTATAATTTTATAGTTTTTTTAATTTTTGAATTGCTATGTGATTTTAGAATTTGTATTAAATCTAAATAACTAAAATAAATTTGAAGTT